GTTGCGGAAGCATAAAGAAGCCATCTATGAACGGGGTTAGCCCTCTTGCGCACCCATGAAAATTCTCAACTCACCCTTTCCATATCCCAAAGATGTAGCCCGCCATAGTTCCAAATGTGGACCATCCAACCAACGGCGGAAAGGAGACAAAGAAAACACACAACCACAAAACCCCGTAGGCTAGAGGAGAATGCTCCCATTGTGCCGCCACAGGTTGAAGCCAAATGAAGACCTTCCCGGTGAAGACAAGAAAGCCGATTCCAAGGAGATTGGCCAGTAAGAACGCGGCCACCGCCCCTACCCTTTGCCAGAAGTTCATCTTGCGCCACGATTCCAGGATCTGGTGGTATGTCTTGGTTGCTCGGTCTATGATTTGATCTCGGAGGGTAGCGGATCGTCCGCCGGAGATACTGGCTGAATTTCGCCTCCCCGGTGCTCTTCGGCTCCATGGTGGATAAGCCTCATCCTCCGACGGAGACAGAGGTTCTGGGGATGAGGTCGAGACGGACAGTGCCCGGGCGGTGGATGAGTAATCCGCTGGCATCTTTCAAGGTGGATGAATAAAATAAGGCAGCTGAAGGATAGTCGAGCGTATGTAGCTTAACTTGATATCCAATATGCGGGATCAAGCCCGGCTCGATGTAGAGATCGGGGTGAGGCGAATGGACGCCTGTGCAGAGAGATGGGCCGACGGGCGCAAACCAGTACGCGACTTGGGGTTCGGCGATGTATGAATGCAACGCTGTAGATGTTCAATGGTCGTTCAGAATGGCGATGCGCAGTTGAAATCAAGGAGGGCGTAGCTAAGCCCCCGTCTAGGAACGAAGCATGAGTGGATGGGAAGAGCGATAGAAAGTGGAAGAGTGAGCGAGGAAGGGTCCACGACGTCTAGCTAGGCGATGATGAAATGGGAGCTGTCCGGTAATTGGTCAATGAGCTTCTGCTAGTTGCAGCACAGAGGAATGGTCTCGGATGGTGGCAGTGGGAGGTGGAACACAAGCTCGGATTAGAATGGCATTTGTCAATAGAGATGGAGATCTGGATGCGAAGGAATGACAATGATAGCAGTTCATCTAGGCTCTCCTCATGAGAGTCAGTCCGTCTGCATTTCTCTTGAAGGTGGAGTTTAGTGTCTGCCTGAAGGCGGCAATCGGGGAAGATCTTAGTCAGGATCGCTGCTGACTGTTCCACTTTTTCTGTTACATACGCCTCGATACGGGGATTTTTATTACGGGCGGTATGATTGTTTTCTCTCTATTGATCGCAACTTAGTAGTTGACTTGTTGTTCATGAATGAAGTTTTGCCCTCGTGATGTGCTTGACTTGGGGAAGCCATATTCTAACATTCTACTTGTGGTAGATAAATGGATTGACCCTATGGCGGCCCATCGTCTCCATCTCGATACCGACCAGCAAGTATCTATCTGTTTAGTCCGGCAGATCGACCAGGAAGCCATTCTTAGTGAGGAATTGGCAGCCAGTCTAGATTGCCCCCCCAAAAAGGGGGGAAACTTGGTAAGGTGACAGCGCCGCCGTTTCTTTGGTTGAGAGTCAAATCGCACCCCGGAAGCTTCAGCTTTGGTTGATTGCCTGTCAATAATAAAGAAAACATTTAAAGACAAATAGAATAAACAAAAGTACCTCTCTAGGGCGTTGATTGGGGAGATGTTCATCGGGAGACGCCGCGTAGGAATTGTTTGAGAGGGGATAACCTCCTTGGAATCCATCAATCAATCAATACCAAATCCCTCCGCTCTCTCCGACTTTCTCGCTGCCTCTTTCTTGCTTCTCTCCCCTTCTTTCTACTTACTGGCTTTACCCCTCTCACTTCTCCTCCTCCTCTATTCTCTCTCTCTTTCTCTCTCTCTCTCTGTGTGTGTCTTGCGCGTCCTCCCTCTTTGGACCTCCTCTTTCTCCATCTCTCCAACCCAGATCCTCTTCTTATCTTCTCTCCCTTCCTTCCTTCGTTTACCGGATCCACTCTCTTCTCCCCCTCCCCGTCATCATCGATCATTGCACGACGGTAGATGCGATGTAATCACCCATGGACTTCAAGCTTGTCCCCTGTCGCCTGTCAACCTTGCTAACATCCCTGTTTTTTATTCTTCAAGATTTCCTCTTCGTTTCATGAATTCCAGCTGTCCTGGGAACAAATCATGGACGTGGATTATCGAATCTGACCTGTCTTCTGTTGTCTCCTTGATCTGATTACTGTTCCCAATCTCCAAACGCCGATTACCCCACATCTTCCTGCACACACCGTGTATCCGTCGCCCTCCTACTTCTTCCTTCCTTCGTTCAGCCCCCCCGACGATCCAGAATGATTCAAGAAGACCTCCTCGAGGACTGTCTTCGCATCCTCCAGGATCAAGCTCTGGATGAAGAAGAGCAAGTCGAGAAAATAGAGGATTTTGTACGCGAAAAGACCTCCTTATCAGGTCCGTCCCTAGAAAATGCCGTCCTCGACATCCTCTGGCGCCATCGCAATCGCACCTTGCCAGACTCCTCCCCTCCGCCGCCTCGTCACACGGTGATTCGACGCTCGTCTCCTGCCCCTTGGCAGATGGCGCGTTCTGCGACCCCATTATCCCCTCACTCGAACCTAGGCACAAGCCCCGGAAGTACCTCGTGGCTCCAGAGCTCCCGAGGCGGCTTATCCCGGCCACCCCTGTCCTCCACCGTGTCGCCTTTCACTTCTCCGCGCCCATCGCCTCGACTAGCTCTTGCGCAACCCATCCCACACTCCCCTAATCTGAACGCATACGAATTCTCCGATCAAAGCCAAGTGTCCGATTTCTACGGCGACCTGGGTAGCGATAGCAATGTGGACTGGCTGGTTGCTGACGACGCTAACAGCGTCACCTCGTCTATTGGGACCCCGAGCATCACAGGAGGGCTGAGCGCCACGGCACCCGAGTTTGTGCCCGATATGAGCCCGCACGATATCTTACGCACTGTCCTGGGAGACAAGCGATCGAATGATGAAATCGAGGCGGCCCTGGAAGCCAACAGCTACGACTTGGGCGCGACGATCGCGTCGCTGTCGCAACCCGGTGACGGTGACTCCATCTTGCCGCACTCGGAGGACGGCCACGTTGTGGTCGGAAAGTCGATGTCAATGGAGCCGCCCAAGATTGCTACCCCTCCCAGCCAGAGTCGCAGTCCAGTGGTCTGCAAGTACTGGTTGTCTACCGGCCAATGTCTCCGTGCCGATTGCCGGTTTAGTCACGATCTAACCAATCACCTTTGCAAGTGAGTATACCCCCGAGCTTCCCAATGCCTCGTCCATGCAAGAACAGGACACTAATAGCAGCACATTCGTACAGGTATTGGGTTATGGGGAACTGCTTGGCAGGTGACGGCTGCCCGTTTTCGCATGACCCTTCAGCTCTCGTTGCAAATCTCAGTGTGGCAGACGGTACGCCAGGCACAGCATCACCTGGCACGTCATTCCACATGGACAGTACCTCGGAGGCCTTCCCTCCCCTGCAGTCTACTGCCGGGATGGGAGACCAATGGGCTGGCCAGTATCTTGGCAAGTATCCAGGTCATTTGTCTGCATTCCCTGGCAGCAAGTACGTGCCTCAGGCCATGCAATTTGCTGTTGGTAAGCGAAATGGGAGTATGACCAACCTGTCCCGCCCTCATTCTCGACCAGGGAGTCGGCATCAGCATCGTGAGCTGAACCCGGCTGCTCCATCGGTCGATGATCCAGACGCATTCCCCACCCTTGCTGCTGTCAGTGCCAAGAATACGGGCAAGAAGCATCATGGGAAACGCGGAAATCGCGACAATAATTCAAGCAGAGAAAACATGCCTACATCACTAGCGGACGTGGTTCGCATGTCCCCATCTCCTGCGCCTGGGAAGGGGAAATCTTCGTCTAAGAACACTCGGGATGGGGTTAAAGGCCGCGAACATAGCGCAGCCGCTCAGGCAATCCCACCGCCGCAGAACATTCCCTGGTTGGAAACCGGTTCCCGAGCGAACCAACAATATATCAAATACCGGACGGAGGCTATCCGCCATGGTACGGTGAGGAACAAATTCCTTCAAAGGTAAATTGACACTTTTGAAGTCCGAAGGCTTGAAGCTAATTGTCTGGTTAGTGCTGCTCAAGCGTGGAACCGCAATGACGCAAGAGCCGCAAAGGCTTTGTCTCTGCGGGGTCAGGCTGAAAACGAAGCCATGCGCAAGTGTCATCGGGAAGCAGCCCGGCAACTTTACGAAGAACGTAACAAACATCTCTTAGACGCTGGTCTGGATGATGCAGCGGAGGAACTGTACGTTGACCTGCATGGCTTGCATCCCGAGGAGGCCATTGAATACCTGGAAAAGATCCTGCTCAAGCATGCCCGTGAAGGCCGGCGCGTAGTCTACGCGATCACAGGCACGGGCCATCATTCCAAGAATGGCAAGGACAAGATCGGCAAGGCCGTCAAGGCATGGTTAAATGAATGGAAGTACCTGTTCCGCGAGTTCAGTGTCCCCGGCGAGCGGGGTGGATATGTTGGTGGCATCCTGGGGATTGACCCCACCAGCTACGATAAATCACTAGCCAAGAGTCTGGAAGATGATGCAAACAGCAAGGCGGATGCGGACCAGCCCATCTTGACCATGGGCAAGATCCAGCTGTTGAAGCGCGAAGACCTGGAGTCAAAGCAATAATAAACAGCAAATCTTCTTCAAACACTCAAGAAAACCTTTCTTGATGCTCGATCTCCCGAATTCAACATTACCTCCAACTCAGCCTAGCATACGCTTTGGGAGACTACTGGGTTTTATGTGAATTCTTGTAGGGAAGTGATAGTCCCGGAGTATAAGAGGTGATCGATAGACTATCTACTCAAATCTTTTCTTGATCTCATTTCGGTTCTACCTTCCCCTCATCCAACAAGTACCATAAATAGTTACTCCTAATTTGTCAACTGGCTTGACTGAATTTTTGTATATATAACTCCTCTCACTCAAGACACAAACACCACCTAGTACAAGCATGCTCACTCCGGTTCCTGATGCCCCCACTCCTCCCTCAACTTCCCAACATCAAATCCACACGCCTCCGCCTTCCTAACCACCGCCCTGGCCTTCTCCGCCACCGGCACATCAATCATTTTCCCATCAAGCGTCCACGCACCCCGTCCCGCTCTCGCAGCCTTCTCATCCGCCACACACACCCTCACAGCCCACTTAACTTCTTCCGGATCCGGTCCAAAGATCGCCTGCGCCGTCTCCACCTGCGACGGATGAATACACTGCTTCCCATTGAACCCTAGCCGTCTCCCATCGCGACATTCCTCCTCCAGCACCGCAGGCGGGGACCCGTCCCCCTTGGTAGATTTGTACGCTGTGCAGACCAAATCAATAGTAGAGGGAAGGTTCGCAGCGCGAGCAGCCGTAGCAATCATAGACCTTGCGAAGAGGAATTCAGTTAATGACGGGGTACGGGTGATGCTGAGGTCGAGTGCGAAGTCTTCGGCCGCGAAAATGAGGCCCTGCAGGAGGGGCGTGGAGGCGCAGATTTGGGTGAGGTTTGTGAGGGATTTGGCGGACTCGACTAGAGCGAGGAGGGAGATTGGAGGTCTCGGGGTGGAAGGATCCTGTTGTTGTTGTTGGGAGAGAGTGTGCGTGATGACATCGTTCACGAAAGTAAGGTCCGAGGGGGTGTTGACTTTGGGGATCACGATTGTTGTGAGATTGGGAGATTTGAGCTATTATCGGATTTAGTGAGTTGAATGGAGGAGAAAAGTGAGGGATGATAATGGTACGCACCACTTCGGTGAGATCTCCTAGGGCGAGGCCGCTGTCCACGGAGTTGATTCGTACGGCTCGTTCGCGGATTCCCTGCGGTGCGGGCTCGTCGAGTGCTCTCCGCACCAGGGACCGAGCTTCCGCTTTCTTGTGCGGAGTTACGCTGTCTTCGAGATCGTAGGCCACGCAGTCGGCGGTTAGAGTGCGGGATTTATCGATGAAGCGTTGGGAGGAGCCCGGGACTGGGATTCGGGGTTAGTTAGGGGGTAATTGGTATAGTCGGATAGCATGTTGGGGTGTGGGATGAGTGCGGAAATGCGGGGAGAGCTATGGGTTGGGAAGAGAAGGGGGCAGTGACGTACTGTAGAGAAGGGCGCGACGGAGGGTGTTTCTGGCGGCCATTGTTGATGAGAGGGAGAGTGTTCAGTTGAGCTGATGGTAGTGAGTTTGGGATCACACTGAACTGCAATGTCTCCTGTTGGATTGAAAGAATGGAGATTGTCGGATGAAGCTGCTGCAGCGGTTGCGGATTGACCCGCAACTTTAAGAGATCCTCGGTTTGCGCATAAAGGCTTCTCCAGTCAGGAACCGGCCGATGACCTCATCCGGCAGGTGTCGCGACTGGCCCGTATTTAGTTCGTTCCATTGGCACTTGCATTATTCACCTGTGACAACCACTGCCTTTGTCTTTCTTGTACACCAAAGTGAGCAATATGAAAGAGCCCGAGTGCCGATCGCGCATGAAACAGATGGGAGTCGGAGAAATAAGATGAAAGAGTGTCAAGTAACCGTCCGCCGCTCCACATTCTGCCGCGCCCCACCGCCCCTGGCTGGAGACACGCAGCATCAACGCAATCCCGCCTCGCATGATCTGGACTCGTCAGGAGGCTGCTTGACTGCCGTCTATCTCATGTGCATTGGACTGTTTCCAGAGGATATTTCTTGACTTGATCCTGCCCCTTTTTTGTCATCATGGAACAACAACCGCTCCAGCCGCAGCAGGGCGAACTGAACTGGCGCCTCAGTGCCCATCCGATTACTCTCCTGTTCTTCCTGGGCTTTCGCATCGGCGCCCTACTGATGTACCTCTTCGGCGTGCTCTTTATCAAGAACTTGTGCGTAAAACACCTTTCAAACTCAACTTCAGGATCATAGCTCCCTCAATCTCCAAACCCGGAACCTCCCAGAGCTACCCTATCTAGATCCGAGCAAACAACCAAGCTAACCACTGCAACCAGCGTCCTCGTCTTCATCATCACCCTCCTCATCCTTTCCGCCGATTTCTACTACCTCAAAAACATCGCCGGTCGCCGACTGGTCGGTCTCCGCTGGTGGAACGAAGTCAACACTTCCTCCGGCGACTCTACTTGGGTCTTCGAGTCCTCCGATCCCACTACCCGCACCATCACCGCCACGGACAAACGCTTCTTCTGGTTGAGTCTGTACGTGACGCCTGCACTATGGATTGGCCTCGCCATTTTGGCCATTATTCGTTTGAGCAGTGTGATTTGGTTGAGTCTTGTTGGTGAGTTTATCCTTGCACTCTTTCTCCCAGCAGGTATATAAGAAGCGTGGATGCTAATTGTATACAGCCATTGCCCTCGCCTTGACCATCACCAACACTGTTGCGTTCTCCCGGTGCGATCGCTTCAGTCAGGCTTCCACCTTCGCGAATAGTGCGCTTTCGGGTGGAGTTATGAGTAACCTTGCGGGTGGCCTGCTGGGCAGGCTTTTCAAGTAGGGTGTATGTCTTTGAAAAGAATTATGCTGGGATTCATACTGGGTATGGATATCGGTTGTCAGTTTCGTTTTTGATTTGTTCTTCTAGGTGTGGATTGTGGGGTGTAGTGGTTTCTATCGGGGAGGATGGAGCAGGATATCTTAGGGGAGGGGAGCTTTTTGTTTTGTCGGTTATACTCTTCTAGCGTTATCGGTTAGATTTTATTGTATTGTATCGTATGTTACTACTACTGGTATATTTTGAGCTTGTAGTTTGTAGTCTGATATCTGACTAGCTGTAAAACGAGCCTATCCTCGTGGGGGATATATAGCTCAAGCTTCAATGGAGCTATCACTGAACAATAAGATCAGGTGGATAGGCTGAAGACCAATGTGTAATCCTAACATTATCTTATTCCATTATCCAGCTAAAGGTATCTGGGGTATTTGCACCCTGAATAGACCATCATACGCGATAAATAATCAACAAACAAATTGTAGATGCTTTGCGCTCCATTTCAGGCACAGTCAAGTTCAAAAGGACCATCCGCCCTGACGGAACATGAAACCCGTCGGATCATACGCCTTAGCAATGCTCGCCAGTCGCGCCTTATTCGTTGGCCCATAACTGCCATATACGTCTTGGTAGTCGGCGGCATCGTTCATGAAGAGAGGATTAGAGCTATCATAATTGTTAGCGTGCTGCACTGGACGAAGAGAGAAATGAAGGGAAGGAGGACACGTACGAGATCCAATCCACATCACCCGATTGATAATTCGTCGGCTTAGTTCCCAACAGCGTGTTATTAAATGCCTCCTTCACAGTATCACCCACCTGGCGCAGATACTCCGGACAAGCATCATTGCAAACCGGATTAACCCAGATCAAGTCATTCTCAATCCAGACACGATCACCGTTCGCAGGGTCCAGGCCGAGAGCATTACCGCCGGCCTTGTTGGAAGCACGAGCAATGCGCACTGATAGCGGTTGCGGGGTAAATGTGCCGATCTGGATGTCCAAGTTCTTGGAGGAATCGTTCTTGATCATGGACTGGTAGGTAGTCCAGTGGTTTTCAAGCAGTTGGGTCATCTGCTGGGACGGCATGTTGGGGAATGTGTTGACACGAATGGCAGCGTTGATGCCGTAGATCTTGGCTCCGCCTGCTTCGTTCGTTAGATCGGTGTAGGTGGTGGTCTTAGTAGAGTCGATAAGGGCTTCGATGTTGTCGAGTCCGACGAAGGCGTTAGTGCTGGGCTTCGCTCCATCGTAGAAGAAGAAAACGGCTGGGTTGGAGACTATCGCTCCAGGCAAGCCAAAGTCGAAGGTTGGGATGACGGCGGCTTTGGCGTCCGGGTATTCACTTGTGAAGTTGGAGAGAGCTTCAAAGATTTGCTGGCGTTTGTCGGCGCTGTAAAAGCGAATGCCGCCCCAGACTTGCCCGTTGTCGCCGAGTGGGTGACCCTGGTATGTGAACTTGGTAACGATGCCATAGCGGTTGCCGCCGCCGCGCAAGGCCCACCAGAGGTCTGGATTAGAGGTGCTGTTCGCGTTGACGATGGTGCCGTTTGCTAGGACTACTTCGAACTTGACCACGTTGTCGCAGGATAAGCCCTGAGTTGGGTTAGTGCTGGACGTAGAGGAAAGGGGGCGGAGGAGGGATAGGGCAAGGTAGTACATATTGAGCTGAGTAGTATGACAATCCCCCTCCAATCGTGAATCCTGCCACGCCGATATTAGCCAATCGGCCGCCTACGACGACCTGGTTCGTCTTCTCCGTGACAGCGTAGACATCGCCCCATCGGGCTCCAGGGCCGACGTCGAAAGTCTGGCCGTCTGAGTTACGCGTGGTTGAGGACAGGTTCTCATTGAACGAGATAAGGACCCCCCCGTTGGTACTTGAGAGTCCCACATTGAAATTGTGACCGCCTCCTTTCAATGCAAAGGGTGCAGTGGGATATTTGTTCAGCTGCTGAATTGCGACGGAGACATGTTGCGCGTTTGCAGGGAAAAAGGCGCAGGCCGGACGGTTGTCAGCATTCACGCCGTTCCAGTATTCCTTGACTGCATTGTTGTAGTAAGACTGATTCCAGAATGTTTCAGTTGCGTAGGTGCCTGTGGGGTCCCAGACGGTGTACTGGGGGTAAACCGTGTGTAGGTGCTGGCAAACAGACACTGCGTCGGTGTTTGGGGCTGCCAGGACAGGGGCCACTGCAGCCAGAAGAAGAGCAGCAGCTATCATCTTGGATACGAAAAGCTTTGCTCCGTGTAGTGGGTGGTGAAATAAGGCATCCTAATTACCTTAAATGCCAGGCTCAGGGGGTCCATGCTGAATGGATTTTGTATAATCGGTTGTGATCGATCCTCAAAAACGGGCAACATTCCGTGTAGTATTTGCGTATTTGCGTATTCGATTTAAGATCGACACGCACGTTTGAGCTAAAACAGACTGTTAAATGAACGGTCGGATGGGGGACGCTCTTCAGAGACAGTCATTTCATCTAAGCGGAGGGGGATCTGCAAGGAACCTCGAAACGAAGTCTCAACTTTGGGATTGACCGAGGATGCACGTGTTTCCCCCCTGCTTCATGTTTCTAATGGTTCAGTGGGTTTTCTTCAGCATTACTCAGGTGTTTTAGAAGCCCGTGGGAGATTACCGATGCCATGGGTACGCTTACAGTATATTTAATGCTGTCAGCTGCAATTCAAATCTGCTGCTGAGAATACATCAGCTCATACCGGATCATTGGACCGATGAGATACTATGCTTCTCGGCATGTTAATGAGCATCTGCCAACCTCTCATAGCCTTGTTTGAATTGTAATGTTGTATTTCTTTATCAGTTGAATCATGGCTGCATTCAAAGGTAAAGATCTCTCCTATCCTAGGCAGTACAATGTATTCCATAAACTGTGACAGCGCAGTGTATCTCGACAATCACATCTATTTCTGCGAGGGGAAAAGAGCAAATAAAGAAAAAAAAAAAATAAAAAGAAGAAGAAGAAGAAAAGACAAAGATGCTTATTCTTATGTCAGATGGTACTGGAGCAAGGGACGACCTACTCAGCAAACCTACAGGGCACGGCTTAAGGATACATGATATACATTCTTCGTCAGCAGTGCTGACAGAGGAAGCCGAAACATGGTAACCACGATGTCACCTCGTAATAGTACTAGAACTAGCAAAACCACGACTCATCCATATTATGTTCAGCTTTATTCTTTGACCTGGCCCGCCAACTCTTGCTCTCCTGAATTTTGCGCCTGCGTCGGTGTCGCATATCAAGCTCAAGATTGTATGGTCGCCGATGCCATCTCTGCTACGGCCTGAGGGCCTAAGCAGATAGTAAGAAAAGTCGACAGGTACATTGCAGATAATGACCGAATGCCAGTTAGTCCTATATAATTGATAGCGATCAGTTTAAAGGAAGATAGCATCAACGAAAGATGGCTCATTTAAAGCAGTTAGATACTTCTGAGTTAGAGAAGAAGCCCTGTGGGACTATGCCCTTTTCCACTTGCTGGAAATGACCTAGTCAGGGTCCAAGAGTCAGGAATTTGATATCAAGCATTTACCACGAGAGAGTCTGACTCATTCGGGTCTGAGGTGTGCGGAAAGACGAATCATCATTTGGGTCGCCGCCAGTGTTGGGGAGCGGGGACAAACTTAACCATATCCGTGATGATCAGCTCCCACAGTTATAAAGATCGCCGCGCTCCATTCGCATTTTCTCTTATCAATCAGTGTGAAGATTCCCATAACAATGGTATCCTCTATGTCTGCGTCCAGTCCCAGCAAATGCCTATTCTTACGTTGCGATAAAGTATATTGCCAGGTGGGGTACTGATAAACTGGGTATAGAGTCACATGATTGTTAAACTAGATATTCTACCTGGATTGTATAATATGCAACTGACAATTCCCAAGAGTCGCTGAGTTGAGATTGAATGGTCGATAACAGGACTGTTCCCCTCAGGCCTCAATGCTGGATCACTAGTCTCAAAACATACAAGCGCTTATTCCTTAGTCATTCTATCTTGGCTGACATGTATTAATTATTTTGGTTGTCAGCGAACTGAAACCCGCATTCTTCCAACTTCACGAGGTTCAATTGTCTCTTACAACTTACGCATAAATTTCTTCCTCAATTACTATCGTGTACTCTAGGATGTCACAAAACACTACGACCACAGTACAGGAGCTACGCCTGGGCACCCGCAATTCCAAACTGGCACTAGTACAAGCGGAGCATGTTTCCAAGGAGCTGACCAGTGCTCACCCCGGAGTCCAGTTTCCCTGGCAAACGGTGGTGGTGCGCGGCGATGCCGACAAAAGTAGCCCTTTCCTGAAATTTGCAGGGCCATCCGACGCAGCAAAGAACATCTGGACCGAAGAGATGGAAACCAAGCTGTGCGCAGGAGAGCTGGACCTCCTCGTGCATTGCCTCAAAGATATGCCGACGCGTCTACCAGAAACCTGCACACTAGGGGCCATTGTTTATCGGGAAGATCCCACTGATGCGTTGGTGATAAAGGAGGGGCTGCGGTCGCAGTATACGGATCTGAGTCAACTGCCCCCCGGTTCTGTGGTGGGCACTAGTTCCACTAGACGGAAAGCCCTACTTCGATACAGATACCCGCATTTGAAAGTGGAGGAATGCCGCGGGAACCTGTAAGAAGACTGCCCCTTTTTGTCACTGAGAGTTGACTCTTTTCTGACTTGACATGGCAGCGGAACACGGCTGAAAAAGCTAGATGACCCAGAAGGTCCATTTTCGGCAATCATCCTGGCCACGGCCGGTATGGTCCGCATCAATCTGGAAGATCGCATTACGAAACGCTTGCCTCCCTCGGAGTTCCCGTACGCTGTCGGTCAGGGCGCCCTGGGCATTGAAATCCGCAAGGAGGACGCCCAGACAAAGACCATGGTTCGAAAAATCGAAGACCTGGTTACCCGTCGGATCTGTCTGGCAGAGCGGTCACTGCTACGCACTCTTCAGGGCGGCTGCTCGTCTCCAGTCGCAGTACATTGCACTGTTGAGCAGGCACCAACAGCTTCCTCGCCAGCTCAATTGCGACTAGATGGTACTATAATTCATCCCCACGGGACAACTTTGCTATCTGAACGGACGACAGCGGAAGTGGGAACGGACGAGGATGCCGAGGCGTTGGGTGCTACGGTCGCTCAGCAATTGTTGAAGAATGGCGGACAAGCATTGCTGGAAGAGATTCGTCTGTTACAAGAGACCATTGCGACAGATGCAAAATAGAAGAGGACCTGAATATGTACCCTTAACTAGTAGAATTAATCCCCGCTCAATGTACATCGCCACGACTGCTTATTTCTCACGCTATCTGTCACCCAGGCTTCATCTGTCAGTAAGATGGTCCTTTCTACCGAAACAGTACCCTTGGAGCCACAGAGTAGCACCACATTGAAAATGATTGGACAATGTCTTTGGCTGCATGAGCCATTTGGAAGGACTCATAGGCACGCCGCGAAAAAAAGTGAAGTACATCATGGGCTCAGCCGATCAGCAATCAAATTATTATTTTTTACAAAACCTCATACATCGCAATTTAACGCCTCACCAAACTCGAATATGATGGCGAGGAGTCAGAAAAAAATTTCATGTGGAAATATATCCTCGCTTCCTTACTCGGATTTCATCACACTCGTCTTCTCCGAACTAGTCACTCTACACCACCATGGTGACTTCCTATCTTGACAACCACATCGTCTAGACACCCGACATATATATCGAGGTGGGTATAGCTATACCACCACTTTCCCTCCATCATCATTATTTCTAGCATTCCTAGGCTGTCTTTTCTTCTAAGCTTTGATTATCTTCGAGACAAGATGGTTCCCAAATCCGCAGGGAACACAGGGGCCACCCTAACGACCCTTCCAATTAAGTTAATTGTGTCTATTGTGTCATATCTGCCCAATCGGGATATCAAATCGTTACGCTTGACGTCCCAGCTTCTGCACAAACTAGCGCAATTACGTATAGAACGTGTCTTTCTATCCGCTGACCAACGTAACCTCGAAGTCTTCCGTGCAGTTGCCGACCACAAAGTCTATCGCCAGCACATCCAAGAGATTATCTGGGATGACACGCGGCTGTTACCACCTCCTCAGTTCTCGGTGCTAGATTACGGACGAAATCCAGAAGAGCGGGTCCCCTACGCAGGAGCTGAACTCTGGTACCTCAATGCTTGTCAAGAAAATATTGAAGATTTGAGGAGGTACCAACGTGACTATACGGGGTTAGCAGATTGCATAGAGCGGGCCGAGCAGGACGTTGCTTCCACATTATGGCTGAAAGAATCTTTCGACCTCTATGAAAAATTGAGTAAGGAAGAGGAAGAAAACATTCGCACTAACGCTGATAAGGAAGCCTTCGAGTATGGGCTAAAGCAATTTCCAGCCTTGAAAAGTGTCACAATTACACCTGTAACGCATGCGCGAGTTTTTTATCCTCTTTATCAAACACCCATGATTCGCACGTTCCCGCCTGGGTTTAATTATCCCGTCCCGCGCGGATGGCCGACGCACAAGGAGAACCATCCGGCTCTTTCTCTGTGGACTGATCTACACGAGCACTGGAAAGACAGATGGCGTGGATTCCGGGCTGCACTGCATTTGCTGGCAAGAGACAGAGAGCACCACAACGTCTCTGAGCTCATTTTCGATGTCAACCAGCTGGACACAGGAATAAATTGCACGATATTTGAACAACCGTGTGAGGAGCTCTTAAACCTTTTCCTTATTCTCAACCAGCCAGGATTCAAGCGACTTGATCTTGCTCTCTCATACCCCAATCAAAAAGAACGTGGATGGCCGGTTTTTCGCAATGGTAATCTGCGAGACGTGTTGAGAAATGCAGCTGATTTAGAGCACTTCAGCTTCAAAGCCAGTATGTACACGCTCCAGGAAAGCTCGTCTAGCAATCGATGCTTTCCAAATATTCCGCTTGATACCATTTTCCTAGTCGCAAAATGGCAGAAACTACGCCACTTTGGACTTTCAGGCCTCTCAGTCGGTACTACTGACACGGTCAGGCTTCTGGATCGACTGCCACTCACCACCCGCTCGGTCGAGTTGAGCTTTCTGGGTTTCTCAGAGCCTGATATGGATAATTGGTCAATTCTGATCGAAGGGATTCGTGACCGTACCCGGTGGAGATATCGAAGTACTAGTAGGAGGCCTAAGCTTATTGTGGGTGTGGATGTAACGCGGAATAGACAACCTGGTCTAGGCATCTGGATTGAAAGGGAGATACACGAGTTTCTGTATGGAAATGGGCTAAATCCATTTGACGAGAATGGTTGTGTTAAGCCAGGCGTGGGATTTGAGCGTCAATCCAACTTATGATCGGCCTCACGTTCATCCCGAATGGTTGGACTGGTTGGATTCTATGGTTACTTATGGATTTCAACACGTTTGCAAAGTGTAAAATTAGATAGTGCCTTACGGGTTCCATATCATTGATGACTTGATGAACTAGTACCAGTATCTGCCTATAAGCCGATAGACCGAAGATGCATTGCAGGAGAGGTTCTGGTACTACTACTTCTACTACTACCATTCCACATGGTCTGTAGTTTCTCTTGGAAATGAACTTCTGTTTGCAGATTTCAGCAATTTTAGACTTCTCTCCCTAGCCAAGTGAGCAAATCAAAAAGCAAAGTG